ACTATGAGGTCAAAATGGGCTACAGATTAGGCAACCACACAAAGAACCCGCTCTCAGTGATATCAGAAAGATGGAAGAAAAATCTGGGCGAAAGTGCAGGCTGGGAAACGAACATCCCGTGGAAGCAGTACATGAGCATAAAGCCGGCCAGAATCAGGGGGCTACAATGGCTCTTAATCTATTGGGCGTTGCCAGTCAATATTTGGCTGGCTAAAAGAAGAAAACAGGAGGACCCCCTCTCGCAAGCGGCCGGGTGTACGGTGTGCAACGAAAACGCAGAAGAATCGGTGGTTCACTGCCTAATCACTTGTCATAGAGTGCAGGATCTATGGAAGATAACAAAAGAGCAATGGACCAAATTAACAGGAAAGGATTTTCCGACCAGTTGGCTATACTTGTTATCAGGAAGAATAGAAAACGAGAATATTAACGAAGATTCTCAAGTATTATCTGAGCTGTGGAGAAGAACTACACTCTGGGTAATTTGGAAGGCAAGATGCAAGGGGACCTTAGAAGGGCAGACGCTGAGCACGGAAGAAAAGAGGGTAGAGGTTAAAAACATTATTCAAACTGAAACAAGGGCCAGGTGGCACAGGGAACAAAAGGAACTACAGAGAATACTGCAACCTGACAAGAGGGAACAGAAAAGACAGAACTTTGTAAAACTTTGGTTAGGGGACGGAAAAATAGCGAAACTGCAAGGGGAGTCCCTGCTCTTTACACATTGGGACTAAATCAAAGGTAAGGGGGAAGAGCAAGGCAACATCACTAGTCGTGTCCACAGCAGTGGTAGATAGCGTACGCTGGTTTGCCAGTAAACCAGTGGCTGCACACGAGACGAAAGGCCACAAATCCGGACAGCTTGGAGATATGCACACTCTGCTCCGCAGGAACGGGCGAAGACATAGTTCACTTTTTGGGTGCAATGGGTAGAGGCGACAGATTACTAGGCTAGAGCCTCATCCCAGTGACTCCCTCTCCACATCCCCCTTCCCCGAGCAACCTATACCACGACTCTTCCCGACTAACATTCCCTCTATGACGTGAGAGGAGGAAAGGATAAGGTTTGAACTCATCAGGAAGGTGACCCTATGGGCGATATGGAAGCGGAGATGCAGCGGTTCAAACGAAGGGCTATCCAACCCAAGGATTAAGGTATGAAAGGAGCCCAAGCCAATGATCCAAACTGAGATCTTGTGCAGATGGCGGAAAATCAAGCAGGCGTGGCCCGAAGATGAAGATAAACGGATGAAAGCGAGGTTGAATTTCAGCAGGAACTGGTTGATCAATGGCAAGGCGGCTGAGATCCGAGAGGACCGGGTGTGTTGGAAGGACAGGCATAATTCAACCCCGAACAGGACTGTAAGGCAACAGACATCACTGGAGGAAGCAACTATGTCTTGAAAGGCTGAGGTCGACCGGGGTTCACGGGTTCATATTGCATAGGGCCTCCTACGCGGGGTCTACCGGCCTTGACCCTCCAGCCACTCGCCACAATCCAGAACAGGCCGATCGTCTCTAGCGGAGTCGATGGGAGCGGGTCTGCTTACGCCAACCGGGACCATCCGGGCCCACGGGAAGAGATGTTGACTAAGGGCGTCTTAAAAAAAAAAAAAAAAAAAAAAAAAAGGGGGCTAGGGTTAAGGAGGGGGTTAGTGTGGGGAGGAGCACACAGGGAAGGGTCGCCAATATGGGGACACAGAAAGGTCTGGTGGATATATCACTGAACGCGGGAGTAAGGGAGGAAAGGCAGCTAATTAAGGCATTTAAACGAGAGGTAGGGTTTAGGGTTTTAGGGGTCAACAGAATTCAAAGGGGGACGGTGAGCAGTTTGGAACAAGGGGAACGCAGCAAATAAGGGCGGGACGGGGGCGGGTGAAAGCACGGGCAAACAGCAGCATGGGAGGAACCCTTTCTAGGCATAATAGTCATATCTGGCAGAACTGCGACAGTAGGTCTGAGAGGGAAGAGTGACTCTTGGCAAGCTGACAGTCAATCCTCCACCCAAAGTGGAGCAATCAATGCTGTTCAGGGATAGGAACTGAGAGGGAAGAGTGACTCTTGGCAAGCTGACAGTCAATCCTCCGGCCGGACGGGAGGAAGCGTGAATCGTGTTGCGGTGATGTACTATATTTTGACTTGCCGGTGGAATAGGAACCGGACTGTCGCTCCCCAGAATGGAAGGAGTCAGGACCATAAGGCCCTGTTTTACGAAAAAAAACAAAAAAAACAAAACAAAAAAAAAGACCCAGAACCAGTGATCAAGGCCAGGTGGCAGAAGCTAAAAGGATAGGAAGCG